TAAATTGTCAATAAAAATTACATTTTTCTCAATGTACATTCTATATAGTGTGATATTAAAAATAATACATTTTTTTTTTAAACATATTACGGTGAGCAAACCGTTGAATGTACATATATGTAGCAACGCGTATCCACGCAAACTTCGTATCCTGTTTATTTTTATTTTTATTTGTTAATATTCATAAATATCTATACAATAGTTTTTTTTTTTAAATTATCTTAATTTCAATTCATTTCAGATTAATTTTTAGTACTATGTAAAAATTTAAATAACTAAAATAACCAAACTCTATACATTATATTATATGACTTATATATTATTCCCATTCAATGAAAAATTTAAAAAATAGAGAATAAATTTTAAGTAAATAAATAAATTTGTAAGTGGGTTTACTTTATAAAATTCCATTTTGTAACTATATACTTTCTACATTTAATAGTCAAAAATTTAAATGGAATCAAATTTCAATTATATTTGAAAAAAAAAATCATTAATTAATTTTATATTAATATTTTTGATAGGTTTTATAAAATAAATTGCAAACAGTTTTAAATTTTTGGACAATAAAAAAACATAGTACATATTATTATTAAGCATTATATTATAAAGCTTAAATTGACAATTTCTAAAGTACAATTCGGTATATGGTATAAATCTATAGAAACTCAACAGTAAAAAAAAGCGTACATATTTAACTTTCAGTTTATAATAAAAAAGACAAATATTTGAAAAGATTTCAACTAAAACTGATAATGAAAGTGTAATAATTGTTGAATAGTATAGTTACAGGTAAATTATTTTTTGAAATGTAGAGCTTATTTCCAAGAAATATAAAGTTTTGACAACTCAAATTAGAAAAAATAACTTTTAATAAAGTAATCGATTAAAAATAATAATTGGTTAAATATTATAGAAAAGGGAAATCAATTTTATAGAAATATAATTTTGTGTTACAGGATGAAGCTACTTGTAGGTATGTATGGCAATCGTGATAATATTACATTGTCGTATTTTCGCTAATCAATATTCACAGCCATACGATCAAAATTGGCCCTAACTCTATGTTCGTCAATTAATAATTCTATTTAGAACTTCCGTCGAACCCTTTCTATATTTTCTCTTGAAACAATCGGTAATTATTAAGTGTCCATGTAGAATATAGCACAAAATTATCTAAAAATATATAGTAATAAATTTCTTTTTTCCACTACACTATATGTTAAATATTATTTTGAGCCTAGTATTTACAACATACCAATCATGATATAACATTGAAATTTTATGCTAATCATTTATAAATATTATTTATACAATGTACATAAACATTACAATTTATTTATCGATAAATACATAAATCATACACTGCTTCATTTTTAAACCGAATCTATTATATAAACATGGTATAAAGATTACTAACATATCGTTTTCCTATTTTAATATTTAGAGTAATTAACCCATGTGTAGTTTGAATGAACAACATACCTACACTATAAGATCAACATCATGATTTAATGAAAAATAATATTTTAAGCAAAAAATATCCACAAATTGCCTACCTATATAAACAAGCCATATTGCTGGTGTTAGAATTAAAAGATCTAGTTAGTTGCTAAGCTAAAATATAAAAAAATACGTTATCAAACGTTTAAGTGATATGTTCTCATAAAAAAGGTAAGGTCGTTTTTTTCCCAAAAACATAAAATATTTGTTATTAAATATTATAATATATATTGTTGTTATTATACAAAAATTAATACCATTGTACCGCAGGATGGTGTGAATATAGAACTAAATAATTAAGACAATTTTATGGCTCTATAAATAGTTAAGAATAAGCCAAATTATATGAAATAAAACTTATATAAAACAAATTAGATTTTACTCTTGTCTACCAGCTCAGTCGTTTTTATTGAAATTTCCGACACATTTTTGTGTTCATATATATCTAATATGTAGGACGTAGGTATTAATCGTAAATTATTATACTAAAACACTAGAAATCATTATAATCGCGAAGTTCCCCATGAAGTCCCAGATCTGTAGGACATATAGTAATTAGTAAGCATACAAATATGTCACTTATGGGAATTTATCAAAAAAATTTGATCAAAAAATAATAAATTCAATGAAAAAGTTCATTATTAGTGGTCACTTTCTTATAAAACGAACTCTCAAAATCGATATGGTTAAATACTTTTTTCGTCATGGTCTGTCACTTTATATATTACAATTTATTTATTTTTTTATTTTTATTGTATCGCTGACATTTTTCTATATAAAAGGAGATGTGGAATCGAATATGGTAATTTTTAATTATAAACTAATAAATAAAATAGTATTATTTTATTGCGTTACAATTATTATTTCTACAAACGACCTTAGTAGGAATTTAGAAGTGTTTAATCATACTAATTGATCTATTGAAGTGATAAAAATTGTGAAAACAAATTTAAATTTATTATGTAAAGTTATGTAAAGTATACTTGAGATCAACTTTAACATTCCACAGTATTTCTCCAAAAATTTTAATATTAAAATATTATAATTTTAATATCTTATTTTTTACCAAAACTTTTTTTAGGATTTAGAGAAATAAAAAAAAAATAAGAAAGACGATCTCAATAAGACGTGATTCAACGAACAAATCAAAGTCTGTTTTAAAAATTCTTATCAGTTTATTAAATGCTTCAGTTTTTAACTTTAAAGGTAGTTTTGTACAAAAAAATTGATCTGGTTTGTACTTAAGAGAATTTAAATTCAAAATTCTCAGTACTTTTTTTATAATCGGGAAAAATAATTAAAAATTAAGAAAAAAAGAAAAAGTTTGGGCTAAACCAGTTTTCAACTAAATTTATTTATTTATTTTATTTTAATTTAAAATATTTTGTCCCTTTAAAAGCTTTTTATAGACAATTAAGATTTTTTTCTAATATTATTTTAATAAATGTCAGTACAACATTTACAAGTGAGCAAAAATACTTGAAAATTTAATACCAGATTCCTAATAAGTGGTTTATTTTTCAACTAAAAAAATATTGAAAATTTATAGTTATAATAATATTTTTCTATAACTTTGAAAAAATTCATCCAAATTTCAAAAATAACTTATTATTTTGAAATTGAGATTTCATTTACAAACTTTTTTCTACCTAAGATTTGAAATAAAAATTCAAAAGAAGAGTCTTTATATTTTTTCAACCTATATTAAAAAAAAAAACAACTGTATTTCATATTATTTTTTATAAAAGTTTAAATTTAAAAATTTTACGACAATGGATATTCATTCTTATAATAACTAAATATCTTCACAAACGATTTTTGTTTTTTGTTGTAATTCAAAATTTAACCTAACCTAACTATGGAGACTTTAAATTTCCACAAAATTTGTATACTATAATTTTCAAAATATTTTGACACTTTTTAAGCCATTTATAGACATAAGAAATTTTCTATTAAAATCAATAAAAAACTTCAAGTTTTCATTTAATTTATTAAAGTCACGAAAATTTTAAACATAAGTATTTTATAGTAAACATTTTTAAGATCTTTAATTTTTACTAGTAAGATTTGAAAATGTAATACAATATTCCTCATAAGTGTTTCATAGCCAAACTAAAAAATTTAATAAATATTGAAACACAATTATTTTTATAGACATTTAAAGGAGTTCAAATTTAAACAAAAGTATATATTTTAACAATGAATAACAATGATGATTATTTCGTTATAAATCAAAAACATTTTTGGTGTTATTCATGAACATTTAGGAATTACTTAGGTATGTATATTATATTATTATAAACTTTACTATAAGCAATAACATTTTTGATTTATTATAAGATATTATCTATTTATACTATGAATATATTTTTACTGTTTTACGGTATTTACAGAAAGATAATATAAAATGTTGAGTTATTTAAGTTGATATAATTTGGTATAAATATATAATATTATTGTGATAATAAAAAACTAATAATACAATAAATTCAATACTTTCGAGAAATATTATATTAACCTACCATAATACTAAAAATAAAGTAAACTACTTTAATAATTATATCAAAAATTATATCACGAAACAGATTTAGTGACATGGAACGACACTCAGCAAACTGTCTCTGCTTAAAATTGTTTTTCGCATACTATGATGTATCATTGAATTCAAATTTAACACACCCATAACGGTGACCCACATGACACCTAATATACAGCAGAACGGTACCCACTTACCTGCCTTTTTAAGTAAACATTTCAAGAATTTTATGAATTTATTATTAAAATAATAACCTATAGTTGAAATGTAAAATAATTATATTATTTACTTTTATCACATTGTATAGCTGATGCATATTGTACTAGTGAATATACATTTATTTCAAATATATTAAATCTGCAAGCATGATTATTAAAAGCAGGGCTATGAGACAATAAGTCAATATCATTAAATAATTTCAAAAAATAATATACCTAAATATTGCATCGCACTTATTTTATTTTTAATTCGTAAAACAAAATACCCTATGTTAAATTCGATCGTTCATTTCACAAAGAAAAGTTTACACTGGAAGAATTTTTTTTCACATTCCACGTAACGTATACAATGGAAATCACTTCGTGAAATAGTCAAATTTCTGTAAAATGAACGACTTCGCTATCTTTACTATAAGTGGTTACGGTAAATAGATATGTATATTAAAAATAGATGCCCGCGAAAATCTATAACATACATATTATAGCTAGTACACGCCACACATAATAATAATACCTAATGGCAGTTTGATATTGTTATACGTTCTCATGACCTATCATCGATAATTTCACCGGCCCGAGACACACATATACTACATCGGGGGCTTCGATTAATATTCAGCCGCGCTCCGGACAGCTATACCTGTCGAAAACGTGATTAAACGGGGGACATCCTATACGCGTCCCGTACACGTCCCCTCCTCTAACGACATTTTTCGCACACGGGGCTCCTATATAACCCAAGGACGCCATCGACCAGACACCACACTCGCACCACCGCAGTCGGTAGTCACACACATCTACAAACACAAATCAAGCACACCCACACCATGGCTCGTTTCTCGTGTTTGCTCCTGTCCGCCGCCGCATTGATAGTCGTCGCTTACGGATCGCCGCTGACCAACGACAGACAACTACAGGTATTTAACAACGACGTCGACTAGATCGCGCATTTACGGGGGCTCGGTGGATTGAAATCGTATTTTTCACTACTTGTCATATTGATCACGCCGGTCTATTACAGGATGGCAACGGCGGAGACGAGTTGGGACTCACCGATCAACTGCAGGAGCTCATCGAGAAACGCGACGTGTCAGTGGAACTCGGAGGCGCCACCGTCACCGTGTCGCCCAGGAACTTAGACGAAAACGAACTGGGTCTGACCCTGAGACTCCCCAGCTCCGCCGAACCCAGAAGTGAGTACAACAGTCGTATACGACCGATTAATTAACGATCAAACGCGTTACACTACACCGTACTCACAATACCCTCTCCGATTCATTGCTTCAGGCAAACGGCATAAGCTTAAGAAGATCCTGATGCCCATCATGGTGTTCGTCATGCTCAAAGCACTCACACTCATCCCACTCGCCATCGGCGTGTTGGGTTTGAAAGCGTGGAACGCACTGCAACTGTCGTTCTTCTCGTTCGTCATATCCATTGGACTGGCCATCTTCCAGTTGGTGAAGAAAGCTTCCGAATCACCACCATCTCTGACCACCCACGACGCCGGTATCTACGGAGCCCCGCCAGCACATTACGCCAGGAGCATCCAGGAACACGCCCAACAGTTGGCCTATGGTTCCAACCAAGTCAGATAGGTATGAAACGTGACAACTTGTTGCTTAAAATAATCGAAACTCCCCTCTCACCTATCTCATTCGTGTACTTACTTGTACACACGTGTATTGCACTTATGTATAGTGTGAGACCGTGATGTCGTTTCCTTCGCCTGCCACATATATTGCAAGAATGATTGCAAATAACTTTTTAATATTTACGATCGTTTTTTTTTTTATATCGTTTCAGATGTTTTCCATCTATGCTGACGCGACTCGCGTGTGTGTGTGTACGTGCGTGCGGTTTATGTCATCCCATTGCTGCTGTGTCTACCGCACGTCAATTATACTGCAACAGAATAATATTTATTTATTTCGACTATTTATTATAATTATTATTTTTTTATTTCTACTTTATTATTACGAAACTCGAATGATTGTAAATACATTATACTTGATGTTCTTATTGTTTGTAAATCCGGTTACTGCAGACCCTGTTATCGCTTCCGATTGAGAAATATTATAGTATATTTTATTAATCTAACTATGTGTCATTGTAGTATTGTTATTATACCGATCATTTTTCCTTTCCAAATCTTTTCATAATACAAAGGCATACCTTTGAAATATCTTGATCTAAACTATTGTTAAATTAAAAATAATGAACATAATACAAAAATGTACAAATCATTTACCCAAAATGATGATTAACTGTATACTGCAATATATGATTTTTAAATGTCTAAAAATATTAATTAAATTGTTACATATTTTGATGAGTTATTGATCAGTGAAGAAATTTCATTTAACACATTACATATAATTATTATCATCATAAAATATTTTCTTCCTATTAACATTAAAATCCTTTCAACTTTTATTAAATGTAATGCAATCACATTTGTGAAATTAGGTTGTAAAATATCAAAATAGATTTATATATTTTTAAGAAATGATTTTATTAAAGTTTAAATTAGTATTAGTATTATATACAAATGCCTATGTAACCATTGTGTTATACTTTATACTAAATAATAAAATATATCTACTATCACATGATTTAAAAAAAAAAATAAAAATAAAAAACGAGGGTTTAAATGTTGATGATTTCAGTATGTCGAAGAATATATAATTTGTATTGCTTACTCAGAAAAGTGTATGTATAACTTATTATACTTTTTACACATATATATTTTTTTTATTCTACTCCACTAACATATCAAACATGTTGTAAACTTTATAATCACTAAAATAAAATAATTTGATAAATTTAATAAGCTGACAAAATATTCGTGTCTTAAATCTTGATGTTAGAAAATATTACTAACGGTAACTAGTGTCTAGTTAAATAGTACATAATTATGTAGTGACAACATGATATTCTTTTATACATCAGTAAAGCTTAAATAATATTTATCTACTATTGATAATTATTAAAACTAAATTTATATGTATGCAATAATTATTGTAAAAATAATATATTTACAAATTGTATAATAAAAAATATATATATATATATTATGTATGTGTGTCTGATAAAATAATTTTAATATCTTAAAAGTTAGATTTAATTTAAAATGAATGCATGTAACCATTTTAAACGTCTGTGTGACTTCAATAATTTTAATAAAAAGTTATTGACTATTGCCTAATTCATCCTAATTGATTTTGTATATTTAATTTATTGAAGCGAAGTTGAACATTTAATTAGATCGTACGTCCTTTTGTCTTATTTAAAAAAATATGTTCTATTATTTGTTTCATTGTTTTTATAATATCAATCGTTAAATTTGTAAGTGGTAATAAAAGAAATATTTTATTTCAGTAATTTTAAAATTATTTTATAAATATGAGTAATTTAGCTATTTCATTTATTGAGCCTTAAAACACAGTAACTAAAAATTATTTTAAACTGAAACAAAAAAATACCATTAAATTCTATAATAATCAATAATCAAAATTAAAATATTTTGAATTAAGTTGGTAAAAAAATAAAATAAAACAAGTAAATTTCTAATGTGTATTAAAGATCTCAAGTAGATCTCGTCATTAAATAAGTCACTGTATAAATAATGTGTTAAATTTGAAATTCTAAACTCAATGATTTCATACGAAAACGATCCTGAGCTGATACAGTGGGTCTATCTTTATTTCTTGGTATATTTTATAACTTATTTATAAAACTAATTAATAACAATAGTAATTTTTAGTCAATTTGTAAATAACTAATAGATGTTATACGGTAATATCTAAAAATGAATTTAATTATTTTTTAAATGTCTTTGTGTTTAATAAAATATATATAAGTAAAATTTTTCAAATCCCTTCATTAGTATAGCATATATTTTAGTATTATTAATTATTTTAATAGTATTTATACTTACGTATAATCAAACAACACACCACGTTGATACCGTAAAACGGAGTAAATAATTTCGGGGTATTAATAATTAAAAAATATAATATACAATCTGAAAGTTTCAGAAAGTAATAATTAGAGCTAGGATTTTGGTGACTTTTGAATTTTTTTTCTTTAAGTGCTATACAATTCTAACCAAAAACTAAATTTGTTTCGTGATATAACAATGTAAAATATGTAATTTTTATTTTGCATTTTTTTACATTTTTTGCATTTTTTGTGTTAAATGCATTTTATTGCATTTTTAAGGTCATTTTTACGTAATATTACAAATATTACGTTCATTTTGGGTATTTTAACAAAATTTTTGTTTATTTTAAGTTTTTTTTTATATGTGTTGTAAAGGTAATCCCAATTAGTACCTATAGGCAATTACCTACTCCAGTCCATTGATATTAAAAAAGTAATATAAGAGTAAGTAAGATAAGATTACATATTGAACGAACCCAAAACTATATAGGTATACAATAGTAGCTTTAGTAGTGAATACGACACGTACCTATAATATGGTTCTATACCGATCTGTATACAATACTGAACAAATAATATTACGACTAATATTAAAAATTAATATTAAAACTTTAAAAATCTTAAAAATGTCAAAAATTAAGTCAACAGTAGGAAGCCGTTTACGTAGTTTTGTGAGTTTGGTACCGATATTTATATCTATTTTATTCATAAATCATAATTATTAATTAATATTTTAAAAATAAATTATTTTCACTCATCTAAGAACATTTTTTGGTCATTTTCTAAGTTCATTTTTTAGAATTTTTAGGACATTTTTGCATATTTTTTTTTAGTGCATTTTTGTGTATTTTTTAGGTCATTAAAATCCTAGCTCTAGTAATAATATACCTGATGGTAAAAAGTTTCGAATCCCTACAATTAATATTTTTTTTTCATAACATATTAACTAAAATTATAATAGGAAATATCGTTATTATTCACTTAAAATATCTAATGTGTTAAAATTAAAAAAATTAGAACTTCAAATATTTACAAAAAAAAATATATATTGCATGTATAAATAATTTTTTTTTTTTATGTATAATTTTAAAATTGTAAAAAACACTTATGAAAAACCAATTATTACGTTTTAAAGCTTAAATTTTATGGAATTTCATGAATTTTTAATTATATATATTTTCGTTATTCCGACGAATATTTTCAACATTTGAACTTTCAACGTTTATAAAAAAAATTACTTAACGTATTTTCAATATTTATAAATTTATTTCTATCTATTAATAAGTACAATAAATTATGAAAAATATTTTAATACATTTTCAAGATTTTTAATAAACATAAACATTTTCAATAATATATTATTTAGAAAGTAAACCTATAGAAATTTGAAAATTTCAATGTGCATTTAAAATAATAATTAGAGTAATAGTAGAATATTTAAAGTTTCTATAGTTTATAGTTAATATGTTTTTTTTTTTTTTATTAATAACCTAAAATTGTTTAAAGTTAAACGTTTAAAATATGTAGTATCAAATATCATAAAGAATTGAACTTAAAATAATCATAAAAAATGCACGTGCGTTAAACTCTATTTTAAATTTATAATTAAAAAACCCTTATCTAGTAATTCGTATTAATTTTTCAAACCTTAGCTATGAAATTAAACATTGTATGCATTTTTAACTATAAAATAAATTGTTAATTTTTGTGATATCAACTAATTTTATAAGAATATGAACTTTAAATGATTACAAATAAAATAAATTCATGTTATATTTTTGGCTTTTATAATTTATATTTTGATAAATTTAACCTATTACTAAACTTTTAAATTATTCTACTAAAAATTAACAATATTATTAAATATAAATAAAAAAAAAAAAAACTAAAAACTAAAAAACGTCAAAAATTTCAAATAATTATAAATATCACAAATATTTAAAAAATTTAATTATGTATAATAAATGTTAATTTAAATGTTTAGCAAAAAAATACAGTCTAGTATTATTCATTTTCAAACTAAAACAAAAATGATTTTTTTCAAATACTGATTTTACATAAAAATGTTCGTTTTCCCTTATTTTGTTTTTTTTCTCTGTTATTTTACAAAGTACTGAGAATTTTCTACTTTTAACCCCTCAAAGTTCTAACTAATCCAATTTTCTACAAAAAGCTATTTTCAAAGCTGTAAATTAAGTTATTTTTACCTGTTCTTAAAAGTTAATAACAAATACAAAAAAAAAAATTACACGTCATCGTAAGACCAATAGATTCATTTATCATTTTATTAAAAATCTAATAATCTAGTTTAAATTTAATAACATGTATCACAGTTTTAATACTTCATCAAGTTATTTAAAGAGTATAAATAATACTCAAAATTATGCGCATCAATTTCTTTATACCATTCCTAAAATACCGAATGTGTGTATAGCACTGGGGTTTTAAGTTTAGCCCAATTTTTCCGTTCATAAAGTTAATAGTATAATCTATCCAAAACGATAATCAAAAGTGAAAATAAATGTCAGTTGTTGTTTTTTGATACTAAACTACAAATTTACGGGATAGATTAAATCAATTTTGTAATCTATTCAAGCATACTGTGTTAACAACACAACTATTGAAAGTATTCTACCGCCTAACACAACTATATGGTCAATATAAACTAGAAATAATTTTTAAATTATTAAGTGATTTTACTTGGCATTATTTATTAATTAATAATTTATGATTATAATTAAACACTGCCAAACAATTTCAAACTTTTATAAATGTCGACTTGGCAACCACGGAACATTTAACAATATTAATTATAAGTTATAATTATTATAAAATTATAGTTTATAATTGTAGAACACTAGATCTTACACTTCTTGGCCCATCCCTGTATCTTACCATACAACAACGAAATTTTTATCGAAACTAATCAAAAAAATATCATTTAAAAAAACCACTGCACATCGTTAAAAACCTAATATATTTAACGCTTCGCTCGGAATCTAAAACTAGGCAGGACACAGATATCTTCCCACTAAATAAAATACCATCAAATAATATTATAGTAATCAAAACGTATTAAAGTTTATTAAATGACAGTTTTTAAAATTATTTGTATATTTTTTTAAAATATTTTTCAATGGTTATCAATATAGTTTTTAAACATAAATTATAAAACGTACTTCTAATGAAAGTTGGTATTTATGATTCTTTATTTCATACTTATCATTATGCACACTAAACTAATTAGTTTGTTCACCTCGTACTGTATTGTTGTTTGGTGTTTGGCATATTAATTCAAAGCCATAGTATGCTTGCCTACTTATGAGATACGTGCAAATGTTTTGATTCAATAAATACCTATCATACCGCTATAGTCTATAACTAGATAACATAAATAAATATAATTATAATGTTTCTGACTCATCAATAGAATTTTATCGTATTACCTAAAATACTGTTTAAGTTCAATTAATTAATATATAAAAGATATATTTAAAAACGTATTATTTATGTTTAACTTTAAAAAAAATACAAATCAGTAAATAGTAACTAATAGAAAAATAAAAACGATACGCGCAAAATAAATAGATATTAAGTTTAATAATTAAACTAATAATTATTTGTAATAATTATTATTACATGGTTGCATTATAAACAATATTTTATCTTGCAATTTTTTTTTTTTTTTTAAATAAAATATACCTATTACATGTTTGAAACTTAAACTTAAACAACATAATTACATAAATTCAAAATAATGTAATTAAAGAATTTCATGTAACTTTATAGAAACTTAACATTTAAATAATTGAATATTAAATCGTCTCAATCATTTTTTTTTTTTAATTTAATATGTTTGTATATTGTAGATTTCGTTTTAAATTGTAAAGATATGATAATATATTTAAAAATACACCATTACCTATACCGTAAATTTACTATTATGTTAAAAATCTTGAATAATTTATTAATTTTATTGATTTGATAAAAATCTTTAGTATAAAGTAAACATATATAAAATTAAAATAAACTTTATAAACGCGCATTTAAATATTATAAAACTTAATAAAAATTCAAATCTGTTGTGAGTTATGACTGTTGTGTTTTTGACTTTTATTTTTATAAAGTTAAGAGTTATAAAGTTTTATAATATTTAAATATGTTTTAAATACTTTATCAATTTGACATCATTTAAGGATTGGATTACTTTAACTCATTTTATATTTGAATAAAATCAGTTTAATCGATTTACTTTAATTTGAGATTATTATATAATAATTTAAAATCGTATAATTATATTATAAAAATAACATGATGCTCAATTGAATAATAACATCACAATCCACAAAATTATTATTAATTTACCGAACAATATTGTTTACTTGTTAGAGATGAATCATATTTAGTTTAACACTAAAATGTGTCTATAGTTTGAGATTTTGAGCATTTAATTTTTTTTTTTTTATGTGTATTAAAAACACACTATTAATATTATACAGAATAAATATAATTTTAAGAGAAAATAATTTGAATGCATACCTCATTCAACTTATTGGAGACAATATATAGTAACTAATAAGTAAAACTGATGTAAAAAAATAAATCTAACATCATGGTATTTCATCTAAGTTCTAATCGATTTTTGAAAATCGGAAGTAATCGAACTTCGGTATGAACAATAATGATCAACTAAACATCTGATCGTTTTCAGTCACCGAATATTTTATATTTTACAAAATTACCAATCGATCATTTATTTTTAATATACTTTTATGTATAATATGCGTCGCTGATTTATCGTATTATAAACAGTCAATATGATTTTTTTTTTTTAGTAATTTATGTGATTATTTACTAAGTATTCATGTCCCAAAAATAAGTATAAATAAATACTTATCTATTATTTAAAAATATAAAAAGCGACAACAAATTTATTACGAAATATTTACTTCGAAATACGACCGTTAGGGAGATAACAACGGTTTCATCGCTTCCAACTGGCTTAATAGTATTTAAAATATTTTTTCATAAGATTCTTTTTATGATAACAGCGAGTTCTATAATTTTTCACTAACAGAATGATAAAACACCGACCATGTGAACTCGCAAAAAAATATTCGACTGAAACACGTTTGACAGTTCAACAAAACCTTTTCGACGATTCAAATTGTTCGTATGGGATGTGCGGTTTTTAGACGGCGGCGGCCCGAAAAAATGTCGAAGACGGGAAGACGGTCGTAGTTTTCCGGGTAAGCCGTTGAAAACAATAGTGACGCTCGCACAACTCGCGTTCCTGCAGGTGATATTACAGAATAAGAATCGTTCGAAAACGCAAAAACGCGGTCGACGATAGACCTAGGTTTTTCATCCAAAGTTTGCGGATGTGTCGTTACGAAAAACGTGGACGTGAAACTATACGAATAAAAATGAAACGGTTTTCGTCAATCGCATTTGTAGTCACGGTTGCCCGCCGTCATTTGCATCGCCGCCGTTTCACTTCGGACGTCCTGTACGAGAGCGAACCCGAAAAGGACGAAGGACCCAAGCGCGCGCGCGCGCGCACACACACACACACACACACGCTCGACCGCACAAACGTCGGCCGCTTAGTATTCCGGTGGCGACGTCCGCCGACCGTAATGCGGAGAGATTAGCGTATTTGTCACGCGCCACCCGCAACCGGTCGTCCGGCCATCCGTCGTTATGTTGGGCAGTGGGCCAGTGCCGGTGGTATATAATGCTGGCGCGGAGAGGCGTGGCCAAAGTCGTTTACGATGCACAGCAGCAGCAGAACAGCAGTGTCCGCGTCGTCGCTCTCGGTGGTGTTGCTAGCAGCCGCGGTCGCCGTGGCCGTGGCCGGGGTCGCGGTCGCCGCCGCCGACCGGCCGGTCGACGGTCTGCTGGACAGGGTGCTGGACAGGTGTTCGCTGGGACCGGGCGCCGTGGGCTGTCTGAAGGGCAACGTGCTGGAGTTCTTGCGGGATGGCCGCGCTGCGGACGCCGACGACGGTGACGTGGACGCGGAACTGGTGCGAGCGGCCGGCGCGTACATCGAACGCCGCGTCAACGAACCGACCGTGCCGGCTGTGCGTCCCGCCCGGGCAATGGACAACGACGCTGCTCCCGCCGCCGCCTCTGCCGCCGCCACAGCCGCCGCCGCGACGACTACTACCACAGCTAGAGGTTTGGATATTTTAAGTATAGTCGAATTTCTCAAGGTCGTCCGATCTGTCTTTAAATTCGTTCAGTCGTTATTGAAGCTCAAACAATCCGAACTCAATATTGCGTTTATACCGTTTGTAGCTGACATGGAAATGGGCATGATGCAAGACAAAATGCTGATGCCGCTCATGATGATGATGAAGATGAAGCTCAAGATGCTCATGCCCATAATGATGGCCATCGTCAGCATGAAGGCGACCAAGGCGCTGGTGCTCAGCAAGGTGGCCATTATGCTGGTGCTCGGGTTCCTCATCAAGGAGTTCCTGAAGAAGTCTGGTATACCCGGGCTCCCGATACACCTTCCCGGATTCCCGGGACCCTCCGAACCGTCGTCCACATCCGCTCCGCCTCCCATGTACGGACCGCCGCAGTCTTCCAGCTACGAGTCTTCCAGTTCGTGGGAGCCCACGGGATACTCAAGTCATTCCTCCGATTCCGCTCATTCGATGGCCTACAACAGTTACCAGCCGTCGTCTTCGTCCGGTTCGTCGGCCAGTCTGTCGTCCACCAAATATTGAAAATTTGGTCTTAGATTTTTGCACTAGGTATCTTAATTAAATTATTGTTTGGATTTATATTAATATTATTATTTATTACTCAGTATAGCTCAATTAATTTATTTATTTCATGAAAATTGTTTAAAAAGAAAACAAATATATCATATTTTCGTCGTGAACATCCACGAGCGTTCTTATTTTCGTCATATTATATTAATGCGTATTATCTGTCTTGTCAGTCCAAATAGTAGTGACTTTATTAAGACGTATTCCTTCGATGAAGTAAAAAAATAATTATACATTTTCGAAGACGTCATTGAAAATTATACAACATTTGAACAAAGATATTACCATTTGTTACAAAAATATTATTAACTCGTCACCAAAATGTATTATTTATATATATTATGTAGGTGTAGACTGCAGTAATTAGGTATAATAATAAAAAAAAAATTGCTTCCACATACTTTAATCGTAAGGACTATTAATACACTAATGTAACTCAATGAATGTTTTATTTAGGTACCTACATAAATTATATCGCCTTATCACTTTTATACAATTTAAAGTTAATTAATTTTACAATATATATATTATTTTTCATTGAATAACGTTTTAATTATAATAACATAAAAGCATTTTAAATTCAGAAAAAATAAATTATAAATTTAATTCGTTTTTCGTGTATATGTGTATATAAATAACAGTAAATTAAAAAATAATAATAATTTAATTTTCTAATTATACATACTTATAACATGAATTTAATGTTTTTTTTTACTTTTTACCTTGGTCTTAACTAATTTAAATTTTCTACGTTTTCGACAGATTAAACGTATATAAATAACACATATTTATCGGAGAACAACAAACATTTTTTGAAGTTTGAACACATTTTAAACATTTTTTTCACTTACAAGATAATTTACATAATAAAACAAATAGGCATTAACACAAAAAAAATTATATATGAATACGAGTATATGTAATTTGTTTAAAATGTTTAATATAAAAAAGTACGTATTCAATTATATTTAATTAGGGTAACTCAATTGGAAATACAATAATTATTATACTTTAGCAATCTTAAATTTACCTCACGTTTTATCTTACTTTTTTTATTATGTATCCCGTTATAATTATACCTAAAAGTAAAATAATAATAAAATAAATTAATCATAATAGGTATTAAATTTAAATTATAGTTAATTAAGACAAAAAAAAAATTGATTTTCAGTTCAAAAATTATGTTTAAAATATAAATAAAACGCGTGAAAATTGATTACAATTACAAATATGTAATCTATACTAATTAAATTTACTTGTTAAACCCAATAATTACAAATCTGTCTTAAAATATGGTGAACTATTTCTTTTTATATTTAAATAGAGTTATAAGGTTATAGTAAAATTAAGCATCATATTTTAAAATTTTACCAATAGCACTTAAATGATTTTAAAACTTTTACCCGCAGTAAGCACGTTTCTACCGTTATCTATTTTTCCGCACTAAATAAATAAACAAATATAATTTATGAGAATAATAATGTACAATATTATAAACTTACAGCGGTGTATTCATAGATATAGGTATTTCTATTATTATTATTAAATTTATCTTACAGCGTTTACGATGATATTATCATAAATCGTAATTAAACACTATACATGTATACCACTATGTAGGTACTAATGTTGGCAGTATTTTTATATTTCAATAGGTAATCGTACTGTTCTCGATACCTACAGTACCTATTCATTTTTTTTCAACTTACATTTTAAACTTATCTATGGAATATTTTCTTAAGAAATGTACTAAGTAGACATTATTTATTCGGATCCGAATATTGTTGATTTACAAACATGTGTGTTCTGTTTCGTTATTGATGATATTTTCGCTACCGTCGACGACGTCGTTCATACTTTCTTCCGTCACGTCTACTTCACTGTTGTTCGTTTGAGTTTTATTAATCTCAACACGCGTTTCGCTTTGAACATTTTCGACTTCCACCCGCACTTCGCCGCTATTGTCGTCCGATGCCAAATCACAGACTTCGCTTTTATTTTCAATAACTACATCAAAACCATCGGTTTCTTTAGTTTTAGTTCCATCATCAATAACTAAACTATTCACTACTTCCGACATGTTATCGTCTACTTGAATATATTGGTTCTCTATATTTTCTGAAATTTCAATAACATTATTAACTAATCCTTCTTCAGCGAATTTATTATCAACTTGTTCATTACAATTTGTATCATGATTATCGTTGTTTCCGACATTTGCAACGTTTATTAGTTCATCGCAATTTGTTTTATGCTCGTCGTTTATTTCAACTTCTACGGTAAGTGCATTACTGTCATTCGTAACTTCTGATGTGACATTTGGTTGGTCACCGATCGTCATATGCTTAGTTGACATTTCATTTTTTTCTTTATTACATTCGGTTTCAACTCGTTTCGTTTTACTAGATGATGATGATTTTTTTTTTTCAATTGGTTTTGACTCAACGGGTGCTGACGAATTTGCCTGACTTATGTCCTCTTTTAATATTTTGCTGATTTCGGAAATTGGTTTTAACAAAGCGATCAGTACATCATCATCTCTTCTCTAAAACAGAAACAGTGTACATTTAGAAAAATAATTACATAGGTAAGTCACCAGCTATAGTTATTATAATTATATAAAAAACAAATAACACAACATTATTGTTATGTATGTAATAATATAGATATGTAGCACGAATGCGCAATATTATATAAGAGGTACTATCAACTATACAAGTATGTTACCGATATTGTTGTTCCGATTGTAATATGATGTAATAACAACAACGCAAATTACTTTTTGTTGGCTTTATAATCAACATAAATTTTAATTTAGCAATATTACGAAACAACAAACGGTTTTAATAAACAATGGCGTATGAGTCGGTAAAATGGAATTGGCATTTGCTTGAGTCATTTGTTCAACAATTTCTTGGTTTATCGGAAATAAAACGTATCACAATATAATTAGCAGTAAAATTTTTAATTCGGGACGAAAGCCAAAGAAAAATTCTGCTGGCACATACGCGATTGATGAACTTTGTCAAAAAGGGTTTTTTTCACCTACGCCGAACAACAAGGGACAAATGGCAAAAAAAAAAAATTTAAAAAGATCGTAATAATGATAATAATAATAATAAAAAAATTAAAAACAGCGTGTGCGTAGATTCGGAACTTTAATTTCACAAAACGTTGCCAAAACATGTCTCGGTTTCCACATTGCTGAGCAACAATAAAATGTCTAAAAAAACGGCACACCGCTCTACGCGTTATTCGGAAACTATATCATACATTGTACTCCTCGTAGTATAGAGTGAATTATGTACACATATGTATCATAATAACATGGAGAATCACGTGTGACCGTCGCCGCAGACTTATGTAGGTCGGAATCGTGTGGAAATTTATTGCGTTTGTATTATAATTTGTAAACGATTACTGACATTGGGACTGTGCGGAATCCACATTTATTTTGTTTTGCCGAGGAATGCCGGTGGCCATGTGCCAGCAGGGGACGCTCCGGCTTAATCATCACCGGCCATCGATCTATTTCTGTATTCAAGGTGGACACGGCCGTTTTAGTGAATTTACGATCAAATCCTTTTTACTCTCTATTTTTTTTATTTTTGTTTTATGCCCATTCACAAACGCGCACGCATCAGCGATCGTATCTGCGCAGACACTTACTTGAAAAAGTATTTCCCGATCGAAATACACGAAACCGCGACGTTTAGCCGCTATCAGCAGACCCACAACTTTGTCCGATATTTTCGTGTAAATCTGAAAGAAAAAAAAAATTTAAAACTCTCCAACACTGTTCTGCGGAATTTGTACTTAAATTATTATGATATGGCATACACTTGAAAGTCACGCGCGACCGCAAAATCGATCAATAATATCAATATATATATGCATTAGTTTGAGATTTGGAAAGGACAATCGAATAAAATATTCGACCAACGAGTAAAAATTATGAATTTAGTGAAAATAAATTCGAATGAAACGTTTTGAGTTTCGAGGAGAAAAAAATTGACATCACCCTTATTTTATTACCTAGTGTATTACCTATAGGTTTATTATCACTATTATATTATTAGGTACCTACTCACCTGAAAAAGTTCGCCAAAACTAACGATGATCGTACCGTCGTCGATACAATGTTCGTCGTCGTCGTCGTCGGAGACTCTCTTTTTCGAGTTGTACGTGCCGACATCGTGTATGACGGTACACAGTTCTAAGATCTCTCGGCAAATATGAGACTTCGCTTTTCGTCCTCTCAAATCCGTTTTAGAGCCTGCTATAGGCCTGCGGAACATTATACGATTGAAACATTTGAAACACGCGCAACTCGTCAGACAATTTTGTCATAAAGTAAATAAAATATTTATTTAAATAATATATTATGTTTATGCGTGTACTCACTTTCCGTATTCCTCCCGGGAAAATCGAGGCGACGGCGATCGCGACTGTTCGAATTGTTCTGAGAATGGGTTCAAAGACTGCGATTTTGAATGGCTGTCAGCTTGTTGGTTGAATTTCGAAACGATATCGAGGAAAGACATGGTAAATGTAATATTATAATATTAACGATAATAAATAAGTCGTGTACCTAGTGTATCATCCCAACACTATAGCTCTATAATATAATGAACGCTCAACTGACGGAATTGAAGTATTTAAATAGAAACAAGCTGCCAAGAAATTCCGCGCAAAATCGTCACCGGCGATGCAAGAGAACCCACGTGGTTTATGATGTTTCTATTTTTTCGCAAACGTCACGAAACCTTACGAAACTCCACTCGGCGTCCGGCGCCTACGTAACACGCGCGATTATGAGACATCGCAAAATACACTATACTGTAATTTTACTATACCTACTCCTCGGCACGAGCTACGGCACGGCACAACGTTTAAAGTAATATTTTCCACGTTCCAGACATCGTACAGCAATAATCGATCCTGGCGCTTATCGTAAACGAAGTACTTGCGGGGTATCATACAGAGCCAAAAAAAAAAAACATAAACAATACACTAATTCTTAGTTCAAGTGGCTTTTATTCGTGAAATCGTTTTGGACCGATTTGAATCGTTCGACCATAACTCATCATCAACGCATTTAGTACAATGACGCGAGTCTGATATTGAACATTTTATTCGAAAGTTTATTATTTGACTATGACCTGCAGCCAGGGTATTTAAATGACGAGCATTCTTCAGTTATTTGTAGCTAAATGAAAGGGGATTTTGGCAAAAACATAACAGACATACTGCATTTTAGCTCACCGGGTAATTGAACATTTTGGCACAAACACGTTTATAGTTTTGATTTTTGGGTTGAAGAAATCCGGTTTATCGTAAAAAAGTTTATAGTGACGTGAACACCTATAAATGTATATAAAATTTTTTTTTTAATAATTTAAGCTTTAAAACGTAAAAGATGGTAGTACATTATGCTGTACGTGTACTATAATATTAGATTTTAAATATAATTCACTCGAAAAACATAGGTGGACACAACAATAAATTAACTTTATTTTTAGTACGGATTAAATAGCACCAACATATTTTCCTACTATACTTAACTATTTTTTACCTTCCTTATTGAGGTAATAGCCAAAAAAAAAATATGTCCAAAAATATTCTAACAACCCTTAATAATAAATTAATCAATACTGCATTTATTATAAATGAACATCTAAAATTATTATACTGTTTACACACTTTTCAATTTGTTGATAAATAAACAACATTCTAAACATAGATTTGCATATTATTTATAAACCGAAGTATAAACAATTTTATACTATTATTATTTTAATATTTTCATTGCTATTATTGTAAGTTAGTTGGAACATCCTTAATATTTATTTTTATTTTTTTTCGAATAAAATCGTATGCCAATAATATATATCTAAGGTATAATAAAAGGATAACAGCGAATAAAATGAAAATAAATTAACACAAACATTATTAATAATACCAGTGTACTATAAATTATAATTTGTTTTCATTAGAAAAATTGTTGCTATAGTGACACTCTTAGTTTCAAAATAATAAAAATCATAATGTGTGGTAAATTGTCAATGAGAACCAATTTTATATGTTAAAGATCTTCTTACTTACATCAGTTCAAAAAATATAAACAAGTATTTCTTTCATATGTATACATATATATATATTCTTTAATATTAAAATACCTGAAAATTAGTTGTATATTAACAATTATTGCTGGCATCATTTTATATTTGTATACGACAAGACAAATAATATCTATTTAAGAATTGGTAGTATTGGTTTTGGCAATATTAATAAATACTTTCAGTCTACAAAAACGTATAAAAATAATTATATTTTTTTTCTCTTAAGATAGTAACTTAAATAATTATTTACTCTAACACGTATTTAGATTAATTATAGAAGCTTACAATCTTAATGTATAGGTACACGTTACACACTTAAAGTTCAGTCCTGGAATATTCTCGACTGTTACTGAGATTAGACATCAGTGGTAGTCCACTCCAAAAGTTAAACTCGTCCATAAACGGTCTTTCGGATAAAACAGGTGTGGATGATTTTATCAATAAATATTTCATGTCCTTTTTGTTATATCTCGGCCAAGTGTTTCCTGTACTTTGACCGTCTATAGTTAACTTACTAAAAACAATTTAAACAAATATATTTACTTTTGCATACTTGTACTATCCTACTTAGATAATTATTAGATACAAATACGTATATAGAGAGGGAGAGGTTGTAAAATAGAAAAAATAAATGCAATATTGATTATAGTATAAAAAAAATAATGAACCCTCCACCGAATTTTTTTCTACGTACCTGATTAAGTAAGAAATAATTTAATATGAAACAAATCTTAAAAATTAATATTGTCATCTAAATCTAATGATTATCAATTATTGTTTTTTAATAGTTAGAAGTTTACATAATTATTTATATATATAACTTCATAGACAGTTAAAAAAATTGTCAGGAACCAGCTATAATATATGTAGGTAATCTAATACATATGAATTCAAATAAATCATGTGTTATTACTATAAGAAATATATTATTTTATATTTTAGATATATTATTTATTAAAGTATAAGTATGTGTGTATCAGTGTATCTACTTAGTATTTAGTAAGTACATACTGTATAGATTAAAGAGTCATTTATAATAGTATAAAATAAGATTGAAGTGTCAAAATTAAATACTTAAATTAAAGATTTGAATTTTGCCGATACTCTTTTATATTATTCCGTAATTTACGTATTAATAAATTTTGAGTTATAAAATAATTTAATCACTAAAGTTTATTAACTAAACATAAATAATTGGCATGTAAAATTAATTGTTAATAATTTAAACCATTACTGAATACTGTTAAGATAGATCAAATCAACCATACTCAGAGCTAGCGAAATTCGTCCAAATATCCACTAAAAGTTTAGACACATTTTCGTCTTGTGTGTTTAATCGTTTGCCTATGAAGTCAAAAAGGCTAATCATTTCATCACCGTGAGTGACACCTAAATGTTTTGGACATGGTCCGAAGAATGTATTTAATGAATGCTTGTTTGCATAGTCGTATACATAAAAGTGTACAGGTGACATTACATTATTGGCCATGTCAATAACTCCTTTTAAGAATATACCACCAGTGACCATCTGAAATAAATAATACACAATTCGATAACAAAATAAATAACTTTAAATTGTTAACACATGATTAATCCTAAAACTGTATACTTATACTAATACATGTCATGTATTACTAACATCGACTGTCTTTTTAGGATTTTCTTCAATTGAAGTCCCTTCTGGAAAGTAATGCTGTTTTAATTTGTCGCTAATAAAATCAACATCTTTGTATGAAGCAGTAAAATGATATAGCAACATTAAAGGTGCTAATCGTCTGAAATTTTTTTCAAATTCCGAGTAAATAAGACCATTTTCATTATACAATCCTATGTATCAAAGAATAATTATATTATTAAGAAATATATTTTAAAAAAGATAAAAAAAATAAAACTGTACACTCACTGTATTTTTTGAATAATTAAATTACACTGTACGCTGTATTAAAACTCTTCACATTTCGGCATGGGAGAAACATAAATTATTTAATTTTTATAATGTCGACTAATATTAATATATGGCCACATAATTTTTTAATTTAAATTGTGAAGTACATTATACTAACATTATTTCAAACGAAAAATTAAAAACTATTTTTTTTCTAAATAACAGTTCCTACACCTAATATAACTAAATTATATTGTTATAGTTTAAAAAAATGTAATTTACAACACTAAGATTGACTAATGATATTAATTTTATAATATTAGAAATCATCGAGGGGAAGTTAAACTATACTCACAGTCCGCTTAAATATTTATCTTATTTTTTATAACGAGTTAATTGCATACAATTGTACTACCGAAAAAAATTTATAATTTGAAGATTTTACTTACGAGATGCAAAGAAACCTCCTTCTCCAGAATTCATTCCAATTATAACCGGTACGAGTGATTCTTGTTTATAATATTTTAAAGGATAATTGCATAAAAACGAATCTTTTTTATTATTGCACTTTTCAACAACGGCTGAAAAGGTAACTGATGGATGAACTAACCATTCCTAAATTAAACAATTTTAAAATAAAATTATGCATAAAACTACAATTGAATTAAATTTCATATTACAACTAAAATTGAATAAACAATTATCTGTTATTACAATTATTAAATTCAACTTACGAAAAAATTCCTTTGTAATTGCACAAATGTTTCAGCAGGTAAAAGCCTTAAACATTCAATCATATCTTCCGAATTGGGAGGACAGCCAGTAATTGTAGCAACAGCTTTGGCACGTCGTTCTGCCAAACCCGGCGGCAAGACAACCCATGAACAAAAAGGACTTCCACTTTGTAAGATTGCTTTATGAAACAGTCCTACAAATAGATTGAAATTATAATGTAGTACCGTTTAATGTTTAATGTAAGGTTTGCGATCTCATAAAAAAGTGCAAATATACCTTTACTTAATGGTGATAGTAAATGCAAACCCACACTTGCTCCTCCCGCACTCTCGCCGAACAATGTAACTTTTTTATTATCGCCGCCAAATTTGAAGATATTATCTTGTACCCAACGAAGTGCTAATACTTGATCTTTCAAACCATAATTTCCAGGCAATATGTCATCTTCATTGCTTAAAAAACCTATATAATTATGCGTAAATTACATCAATACTTTAAAAAGTCACCTATAATTAAACTCTTAGTAAACACTTATTTTATTTATTCTTACCGAGAATTCCGATCCTGTAATTGATTGAAACCAAAACAATGTCTTTATCCATTAGGTACTTAGGACCATAAAGTCGCATACCACCATGTCCCGAGCTAAAACCTCCTCCGGGAATCCATACCATAACTGGTAAATTTTTTACACCTATTTTGGGTAGCTATTTGATATATTACACATAACAACGAAAATTATGATATTAATAATAATACTATTGGTTATTAATTTATCTATTACATCAATAAAAATATGTATACCTTAGGCGTGTAAACGTTTAAATATAAACAATCTTCACTACCCAAGAGGACATCAAATGTCTGATACATGAAAAGATTCTTTTGAATACACATCGGCGGTTCCGACGTAGCATTTAATACGCCTTTCCAAGAGCCAATCGGTTCCGGAGCCTAGACGTTTACGACGTAAATGAAACACACGTTGATTGATTATAATAGATGTTTTATAAATACCTTAAATCGAAGCTGTCCCACAGGTGGTTTTGCATATGGTATTCCCTGAAACGCAAAAAAATTACGTCCACTTCTTGACAAGAATTGTTTTCCTTTTAACTGGCCTTCGTGTACGTTTATCAGCGGACCGGTGCAAAAAACATACTCGAAAAGTAACATAAAAACGACAAACACAACTTGACGCATACTGAGTTATAATATGAATGCTATATTTCAAAAAAATATTGTTGTAATTCAATCGAAAAAAAAAAATACCAAACCTAAACCATTCTACCTAATCTAATATTTTGGCAGGTGCGCGCTGAATGAACACTCGAACTATCTGTAGTCACAATATACAATAGTAGGTATCTATTTAAAAATATTATTTAACGACAACGCGAAACAACATACACACACACATCATTATATTACAATGGTGTAGGTAACTAACTATTAAACACAATTTAATACACGTCGTTTATGATCGATCGGCCTTCGTGCGTTGTTGAGAATGTAAGAATCGATTTATACTATTGAGAATTATCGTTTTGTCATTTCACAGTTTGAATGCGGATATATTATATCACACTTTATCAGTAAGTAATTAAATAAATAATAATATAAGGTTTACTGCGTGAATCCCACCATTTCAATATTTTATTTATAATTTTAAATACTTATTTTATATTTATAAATGTTTTATATAATAATAATATTATGATAATTAGACACCTATACGGCTGTCGGCTATACGTATTAAGTGTCTGTGTAAGTATTAATGTTACAAAACAATTACTAACCTATATAATATCCTATTAAACATCGATACTCTGATGGTGATGTAGTTCAATTATTAACGATGTTTTGGCACAGTCTCGTGGTGAACACAGTTTGACATCGATAAAAATTGTCTTTTGAAGACCTTTAATTTAACGACCTTTAACAATTAGCCAACAATCAATTATCTACATATTAATGAATTTAATTGGCAATAGTTTGATTTTTTTTTTTTTTATCTTTCATTTTTCAAGTATACATCTTTTACTATTTTTTCACACATTTATATACAAAATATAGAAAATTAGATATATAACGACACGTAAAATGTATGAAATAAATATTTGTTTAATGAAAATGTTATTTATTTTATATAAGTATATAAGAGATATAAGTTATGATTAAATATATTTTTAAACAATCAAACGAAATTTTCATCTCACAAATTATTTTATTCACAGAAAAGAAAATGACAATATTTTCAATCATAATCTTAAAATATATAATGAATAACATTTATTATTTATAGATTCCGAGCAAAGCGAGAACTTTATTAATTCTACACTGAGTGTTGTGTATGTGCAAAGTGTACACGTTTTAAAATAGAAATAAATAACAATAAAATATGATAAAAATATATATTATTATAATTATTAAATATTAATACCATAAAAAATGCAATGTTTTCAAAAAAAATTAATTTGACCAACCATAATATTAATAGTAAAATAAATTACTATATGCAATAAATAAAAATAAATCATAAATAAATAATAAATGTATCATAAAATAGTATACATTTATTACTTGGTAATAAAAACTGACTGATCGTCTGTATTCAGAATCATTTTCGTTTGTAATGATCTATTATTGAATTTAAATGTATGTAATGCATACATTACAGTGACTTACTCGTAAACAAAGTATTACACCACTCGACACCTATCACAGAGCGTTTACCTACTTTACCCCCTTTTTTATTATTATTAAACATCACTATAACATTGCTTACACTTTAAAAAACTCAATCACACACAATATAATATTACAGATGATCGTCAATAATTATTGTATTCCACGTAAATTTAAACTTCAGTAAATACTAAATTTATAATTTAAAATAATTTATAGATTAACTAATAATATCCCATATCTACAAATCAGTTCAGTTACCTAATTAGAGATTGAGATATTAAATAGCTTATCATCAAATAATTAGTATTATTTTACTATAGGTACTATACGAATTGTAGTTATATATTATTTAGGTCAATTATTAAAATATTTACAATCATATTATGCTATACCTATTATTATGTAATAATTAAAAATAAATACAACTTAGACTACTATAGCTACACTAAATATTATTACATATTTGAAAATATGCACACTCAACATAACCGACTACATATTTTAGTACTCAATTACAATTTTATTGATACAATAATGAACAATTAAGGCTTTACTTTTTTTTAATAACCTTATTTATTACTTAATATATTTTAAATATCAAAAAATTATCATAACTGTAATTTAGCAATCATATTTTTTCTTTATTATTTTGGGTAAAAATTTTCCTCAACAGTCCTTTACTAAATTTTTATATTCGTAAGTTACTTTCATAAATATTAATTTACATAAATATTCAAATAATAAGACAGTTATTATTATGTACCAATATTCTGATCGACTAATTTAAATGTTATTTGAATACAAAAGTTCTGGGACTTTTTTATTTCAATCAAGAAGTATTAACTACAGAAACTTTTTACATCAATTTTTTTATTATCATATGCAGTTTTAAAAATATTTAAATTTATTTGAAACTATTTATAATCTCTAATATAACTAATTGGTAAATATTTAAATCACATTAATTCAGAATAGTTAATGTGTTATTAATAAAATTCAATAAACGAATAATTTAAATAATCAAATAATCGAAAAAACCTATAATCATATATTAACTAAATCTTATCTATATCAGTCACACAATAATATTAGGAATAGTCCATGACCTCCAATTCACTTTGAAAAGGACTCCAGAAGCTAAAAATTTCCATTAGTCTCGCCGGTCTTTCTTTTCTATCCATAACGTTTATCGTGCACATTAATCTGAAATAATCACACGCATATATGTATGTATTCACTTTCAAATAGTTTCTTATTTTTCTCTTAAGTTACTCTAAATAAATAAAATTCAATTATCCGCCATAAACTCCCGGAACTTAAACTTTAATACTTATAAATGTAATAAAAAATAATTGTCTCTTTAAAAGAAAACCATCTCTCATCCTTCTTATTAGTGATTTGTTCTATTCTATGATACTGATTGTACCATGGCTAATTTTTATCTAAATCAATACTTAATGCACTTTAATGATAAATTCAATACATTAACATTGAAATAACACAGGTAGAAAGGCTGTACTATCGTTCATCAAATTTATTTATATGTACTTAAAAAAATATCTATTCAAATTTAAACAGACTGGTAATATATAATTATACACATCATATCCTAGAAAGCTACTATCAATAGTATTAGGAGATGAGAAATAGAAATATTAATTATAAGCGTACCACAATTTCAACCCCTTGCTCTTTTTTTTTTTATTTTAATATTTACGTTTTTATTTCTTATTTCTACTAAAAATCGGCATTGTAAATTGTGATGATTTTTTTAACATTTTCTTAGTGTTGACAATTTTTAGACTTCAAAAAAAAATCATGTAATAAAATCTTTAGCAAGAATAATAAAAATATGTAATAAGTAAGAAATTTTTAGTAAACATTTATAGTTTAAATATTTACACACATTTTTATATTACAAAATATATCATTAAATTCAAAATGTACATATCCATTACAACAACCTATTCAATGATAACTGAACATTAATAAGGTACACTCGATCTTACACTATACAGCAAAATTGTACCTACCTAATTAAACACTTCTTTTATTTCAAAAGTATAAATTGTTGATAAAATGTGTAAGTAAGTTAAGACAATCTTAAATTGATTCATTCTTTTTATATAGATAAATAAATAAGTATTGAATCTTTTATCTTAATCGAGATAAGTACTAATATATAATTTATATCTATATAATATGTGAACAAAAAGTATGTTATTATTAAATTTATACTAATTTTATCATTTTAATAATATTTAATGATGTATTTTTATAAATAATTGTGGTATGCAAAAAAAAAACACAAAATAAACAAAATAAAAAATCGACATAATATACGTCAGCTTAAAGTGAAATTATATTTAATTAACCATCAACATAAACTACTAGGTACATTAAACACACAATAACTAACATAAAATCATACAACACAAATTTAGAATTTTAAAAATTAATAATTTAAAAAAATATATATATAATTAGATATTTAAGGTGGTCTATTTACTAAAACACAAGTTAATCTAGTTAATTCAATTCGAATATTATTATCAAAATATCAAATTTCAATTCTTTCTGATTTTTGAGATTTGTCACTCCAGAAAACATAGATAATTTTGATTTTGATTTCTAAGTTAAAAATCTTGAAAACAAAATTTTAATTTAAAAATGTATATCACTAACCTTTATATAGAATTTAATGAAAATTTTTCTAAAATATTTTTATGGACATGAGATGTAGATGGTTTGCAAGTTTATAGCGATTCTGTATACTCGCTACCCATTATAGATAAAAAATAATGAACAGCAGAAAAATGAGAACCTAATTCTTTATTAGGTGAAATATTTTGAAGTTGGGAAGTGACACTGATAAATAGGCAGAGTGGAGCATAGTTTCCGATCACCTACCGCAACACGACGCGAGATTTCAGTGCAAAATGTAAATCATTAAGCAGACAGGATAATAACCAGAAGAAGCAAAAGTATTCTCCTCCTCTTAAAATTTGATTAAAGTGTTTTGATTAAAGTGGCTATCCCATCAATGAAGCCTAAGGACATGGGGATGCAGCTAACCTCTTTTCCATAATTATCAAAAATGAACACGGAAAATGTTTTATTTACATAAGGTTTAAAGGATTCTGAGTGCATGGCTGGAAAGATACAACTTAACTGCTTTAAGTATAATTTCCTGGCGATTACAAACGTCAAAACAAACGAATATTCGTTACGGGTGCTCGTTTGACTAGGGTCAGTAATACCGGCGATGCATAATATGTCATATAAATAAAAATGCATATCAAAGAGGTATACTTGTAAAAAAAAGTTACATGATTCGACATAATTCGACATGTCACCCTGGCCGTAGTTGTCAAAACTTGTAAATTTATTACTATCATTTTTTATAATATTTTTATGTATTTTATAATACACTAAATTTAATTATCCATCGACATTTGATTTTATTGTCTCTTCCTTTTTTTTTTTATTCAAATTTTAAATGCATTACTTGTCTAAACAGATTATAACACAATATTATTTTACCACATCATTGTAACATTTTATGTAAGATTATTAATATAACACAAAATTAATATTAATTTTTTATTTTTAATAACAATGGCATTACCGATTTTAAAAAATTGGCAGTAATATGTCCTTCAAATTGCCGATTTCATAAATTCAACAACTGCATTGCTGATTTCATAAAATCAATAATTTTTCTGTCGAGTTCGTAAAGTCGTCAATTTTACAAATTCGGCGTAATATATACAAATGAAAAAAACACGCATCGCTGTAAAATCAATGCATTCGTATAGTTTTACTCAGAATCTAAAAC